CCCCAAAACCCCAAAACCCCAAAACCCCAAAACCCCATCTCTTCTAAAATATTGAAATCAATCTGAGATTCCACCAAACTCTCTAAGTTTATTATCTGCTAGTGAATTCTTCGGTAAAACTCTTTAGGTTATTTCACTGGGGCCAATAGGCAATTTGGTGATATTTTATCTGTGAATTCTCTAAAATCGAGAAAGTATGGAATTTTCAAAAAGAATTTTAGTTTAACAGCACAACCTGAAAATATTTTGGAAGATAAGGGTTTATAAGAATTAGTTGGTGAGCCGAAGGATCTAGCATGCGAGATGAAAATTCTCGATGTAGATTTCCTCTTCTACTTCTGGCATATAAGAATCGATTTGTTTTAGAGCGAGCTTGGAACTGGGCTTTCTCGATTTTATACCATGAGCCATTTTGTTAATATTCGAATTGGTGTTTGAACGCCTGACCTGGTTAGCCTTTGTTTGTGAGCTATCTGCCTCTGTAACGTCAAGTGATGTTTTAGATGCGATCTTTGAAAGTTCGGGAGAGATAGCTCCATCATTGTACGAAGCTATTACAACAATGTTAATATTTCGAAACTTTAGTCATGTTCGAAACTTTCGAAACTGTTAACAAAACGTACAATTTTTAATAATGCCTACCTTCTGTTATGGAAATTGAGCTCAAGGAGACTTCTCGAGATATCACAGTATCTAATGGCAGGTCACTTTCAAAAGCATAGATCTCACTATCTGAGAACTTCGGTTCTTCCATCACTGGGACACCAGACATTTTAAACTCATTATGTGATCTCTCATTTTTCATCAGAGGTCCTCGGCTATCCTTCTTCTGCTTAGCTTGAGGTGACATAATTTTTGACGCACTTCAGAATCGGGAGCTAAAAATAACCGCGAATTCTTACAGTAAAATATTTTCTTCTTTTGGCATTAATTTATAAACGTTTCAGTCGCTCTCATCATATTCGAAATTACTGGTATCAATACTACACTTTTCTTTCTGGATATCTGTCATTTTTGGCTATAAATTTTGAATTAGAAATCGGTCCATGTGAGAATTTAAAGGCACGCTTTAGCACAAAATCACCTAATGGTGCAACACAAATCTTTATTACATCCCAGTGAATGGTCAATTGGTAGTTTAAGGCAAGACCAAGGCTACGGCTTCACCGGAATGAGCTCTGAATGAAATTGAAAAATCGAATTTACCTTAATAAAAAATATATAAAAATTATGATAATCCTCAATTTATATTCTAAACAGGGGTTTTGGGGTTTTGGGGTTTTGGGGTTTTGGGGTTTTGGGG